TGGTCGTGCCAAGCTTCAACTAAGAAAGGATCTTTTCCAGTCTAGACAGGTTTTGTTATTTTGTTATGTTTTTTGTAAGTTTAAGTTAATCTTAAATTCTCCTTTTGTTACACTTGTTTTTTCCTCCTTGTGAGCGCTTTATGTTAAATCCAGTACCTACTCTGTTAAGAGGACATTTTTGACTACATTCAAGACTGTCTCTGGGTCGTGCATTTGGGTTCTCCAGTTTGTGTTAAGGTCGTGACAACTTTTCAGATATTCATTGTCAAGACTTTTTACATGTTTCTCACCAAAATGTAGTGAATGTCAACAAATCTCCCCCAAAAACATTTAAAAAGCTGATTTTCTTGCCCTTTAAAACATTGCTCCACAGCTGTAGGCCTACTAGTGGTCAGAAACCTCCACAGGGTGCCTTTAAAGCCGCCTGTAGCTGTTGCTCTTTGTGACATGAAGACACACTTGATGTGAATCCTTAATAAAACTCGTCTGAGCAGCTCACCTGAAGAAGGTGCTACTGTTGCAGAGGACGATCCTGTGGACTCTGAAGCCGACGTCCTCCACTCGGATCACAGCGTCGCACAGCGTCCCCTCCCGACGCAGCTCATTGAAGATCGTTTTACTGAAGATGGTGCTCATTGTTAAGTTTCTTTTAAAGAAATATTTGTTTAAAGATCTACACCTTTGAACAGCAACTTCAAATGTGCAGTTTAGAAAGCAACAGTCTCTAGGTTGGAGTCTCTGCCAGAATGTTTTTATTTAAAAATCATGAAGCTTCACATTCTCTTCAATCATCAATGGCTGATGCACACAATGCAGCTTGGGGGGTTTACTTGTAATTTCAGAACAAATAAATAATACTGACAGCAACCAGAGTTTTTTTAATTATGGTTTCCCCTATATAACAATTATTATTACTATTATTTAATTTAAGGATTTAAATACTTGAACACTTGAACTGAATATCACCAGACTTTCATTTAATTAAACGTGTAATTTAATTCTTATTCAATTCCCTCAGTCCACTGTAAAAAACAAACACTGGAATTTAAAGCTTCTGGTTTTATTGTTATTATATAATTAGTAGTAATATTAATAAATGACCCCTTTGTTATCTCTCTTTTCCAAGCTGCACAACAAAGATGTTGTTAGTTTTTGAAATGATAATCCAGTACACAAAGCCATGTGTCACTTTTGTTTACACTTTATTGTTTAAAGTTGTTACAAAAAAGTGTTTGCTGGAAACATTCTTTGCTTTCGCTTTTACAAGCACAAGGAGACTCTGGACAGGAGGAGAAGAACAAGAAGAAGACGAAGAGGAAGAGCGGAGTGGACGGACGACAGATGTGTGTGTTTGTGTAGAAAAACAGAGTTAAGATTACAGAGTGAAGCCCTTACTCACACACTTTATCCACAGAGAGAAACACAAAGCATCAGAGCGACGCAAAAAACAACTGGGCGAAGGAGACACCATTTTAATCCAGAATACATATTGTTTCTTTCACTCATGAGGTATCCTCAAAAGACCTCAGCAGTGTGTGTGTGTGTGTGTGTGTGTGTGTGTGTGTGTGTGTGTGTGTGTGTGTGTGTGTGTGTGTGTGTGTGTGTGTGTGTGTGTGTGTGTGTGTGTGACACACAGGTTGTTTCTCCCTGACTGGGGGATGGAATTATAGTGTGTGTTGGAATAAGAAATGAAAACTTGTACACATACAATCATCATGAACACATCAATTACAATCTCACACTCACACACACACACACACACTGACAGGTGTTTGGAAGTGACTCTGAAGTTTCTACAGTACGAGTGTGTCTTGTTCTGGATGCAGCGTGTGTGTGTGTGTGTGTGTGTGTACGTACGCAGCAGCAGTGTGGGAGAATGTGTGCTTTCACATGAAGTGCAAACTATCAGGACTGTCTCTGCAAACATGTTTTAGTCTCTCTTGGTAGAGGTAGTTGGAGGGGTTACACTACTTCATATATCTGTGTATTTATATATTCGGTGTCAGTAGTAGGAATAACAATCTAACCACAGGTCCATGAAGCAGCTCAGGCTCACTTTCTATCATCACATGATCTTCTTACATTTTCGGAGCTCTTAAAGGACTTCTGGTTCATTTTGGCTTTAAAAGTTGAGATGTTATATTTATTACAAGTTTAAACAAGTGATACATTCAAGAAGGGCCCTACGCCCAAAGTTAGTTTGCCACTGACATTCACAATATTGATATACTTATTTTAATTTTGATATAGTTATTATAATATTGACGTAGTGATTGGAAAGTCTCACGAGGGTTTTTGCGCAGCAGTGGGATGCAGTTCGTTTTGTAAATTAATACAAAATTCAGTAAAATGACGTTTACTTCATTGTTGGTTTATTTTTGTCTGTGAGAGCTCAACATTTTGAAGTTTAAAAAGAATAATCTGGCTCATACTGAGATTATATTATTCTCTAAATGAATGAAAAGGTATTTTGTATATATACAAATATATACGATGTATCAAGCATTAATATAAATAAATTGTATCTGTAAATAAAGTGGAATATAATAAAAAGTAATACAGATTCTTATTAACTTTAGTGAACTGACGCAGAGTCTGTTGGTGATAGCTGTCTTTATAGTTGGTTTAAATCAGGGGTGTCAAACTCAAGGCCCGGGGGCCAAATCCGGCCTGCGACTTCATTTTATGTGGCCCAGCAAGAGCTTGCAAAGAATATAATACGTTTATTATACGGTTACATGCCACTTTACAGAAGCAGGTTGTCCATAAACTACATGTCCCACAAGGCATCTTGTTTTGTGACATGCGCACTGAAGAGACTTGCAATTATTTGCCCTGGACTTCTGCTTTCAGACGTAGTTAATTACTAAGTTATTATCCTATCCGATAATAATCCAATTCAGAGGCAATAATGTAATATAATACATTATTTTATATATATATTATATGTGTATATTTATATAGTTACAACCGGCTCTTTGAGTGCGACCTTAATGCTAATGTGGCCCGCGATGAAATTGAGTTTGACACCCCTGGTTTAAATCCTTCATAAATATATAAACTATATTTAAAATCACGAGCCAGTGGGGGCTCTAGGATTGAGACGGCGACATAAACTGTCTGTCTTTCATCAAGTTTGAATAAAATCACAGCTCTTGTGATTTACTGCTCTTTATTAAGTTATGATTTTGACATAAAAATGATTTGTTGACGTAGAATAAACTCTTTAACATTTAGCAGACAACAGACGAGAGTTTCTTCCTGTGGTTTGGCTTTCTCACATAATTCATAATAAATTAAACTGCAGGGTATTATTTGTGGTCTACACAGTTTAAAACAAGATTCACCATGTATCACAAGTTGATCTGTCGGGCACCACGAGTCAATACAGCCGGTGAAATGAACCGCTGTTTAGCCGCTATGAGAAATAAACGTCTCGTCACAGTTCATAAATTAAATAAATAAGGAAGCTGATAGTTTGTACTCATGTTGTGGAGCTGGGAGAACTTCAACACACTGTTTGGAAAGCACACACTAATGTGAAGCCTTGATGGTACACACGCATGCACGAACACACACACATTGTATCTCACACACACACACACACACACACACACACACACACATTGTATCTCTCACACACTCACACACTGTATCTCACACAGACACACACACACACACATTGTATCTCTCACACACTCACACACTGTATCTCACACAGACACACACACACACACATTGTATCTCTCACACACTCACACACTGTATCTCACACACACACACACACACACATTGTATCTCTCACACACTCACACACTGTATCTCTCTCACACACACACACACACACACTGTATCACACACACACACACACACTGTATCACTCACTCACTCACACACACACACACACACACACACACACACACACACACATTGTATCTCTCACACACTCACACACTGTATCTCTCTCACACACACACACACACACACACACACACACACACACACACACACACACACACACACACACACTGTATCACACACACTGTATCACACACACACACTGTATCACACACACACACACACACACACACAGTATCACTCACACACACACACACTGTATCACACACACACACACACACACACACACACACACACACACACACACACTGTATCACTCACACACACACACACACACATCTGTATAGAGTGTATTGTGTAGCTTGAAGCCATGCATGTGTGTTTGCATCCACCCTGAGTCAAACAGCGTACATTTCCCTTCAGATGATGGGACTCCCTGCACTGTTACAATTCAGGAGAGAGAGAGAAGCTCATTGAAATAACCCACAATCTCACAAATCATGACTAAAATTCATGCAGTAAATGTGAGACTTTCATACTAAAACACATCATTATTAGCCTCTAACAGCATCAGGTTAATCTCATTTACATAGTTCTAGTTTGTACTTTAAAACAGTCAGGATGTTGTAAGGTGTTAAATGTTATAAGAGCATAAATATCGCTTTCCATATCTCAGCTCGATGCCAAGAGTAATACTGATCAGAATACTGTAAAATGGCAAAACAATGGTTCATCACTTCTTCTGTGATTGTTCAGTTGAGCCCCAAACATCAGACAAGCAGAGTTAGGAACAAACAGCACTTGTTGTTGTATTTTATAACATCTGTTTTGTTACTTTTGTACAAATAATGGCTGTGTGCAAGTTCCTTTCCACTTTTAATACAATAAAGACTTTTTGACTAGGTCTGGTAAGTGTGTGTGTGTGTGTGTGTGTGTGTGTGTGTGTGTGTGTGTGTGTGTGTGTGTGTGTGTGTGTGTGATACAGTGTGTGTGTGTGTGTGTGTGTGAGAGATACATAGTGTGTGTGTGGGGGGGTGTGTGTGTGTGAGAGATACAGAGTGTGTGCGTGTGTGTTTGGGGGTGTGTGTGTGTGTGAGAGATACAGAGTGTGTGTGTGTGTGTGTGTGTGTGTGTGTGTGTGTGTGTGTGTGTGTGTGTGTGTGTGTGTGTGTGTGTGTGTGTGTGTGTGTGTGTGTGTTAGCTACATAGCTGCGGTATCATGGCTATTCTCTGATCAGAAAAGATCACGCACATATAAAAGTGTCAGTCGGACTTTAAAGGGCGGGAGCGCTCCATTGAGGGTGCCTGAGAGTTACCCAGACACCAAGAAGACTCAGTTTCCCATAATGCTTTGGGAGGTTTCCAGATCTATTGCTTTGAATGGGAAAAGGCGAGAAGTTGAAGCTGAAGGGTAAACAGGTGAGAGCACGCCAGAGGACGGGGTGTATAAATACGACAAACAGATCTGAGGACAGACAGACCCTCAGAACACATCTAAACTTTACATCTGACTAACAATAAACTGTATTTAAAATTAAAATGCTAAATAGTTTTGAAGTTAGGCATATCTGACAGATAAAACTGGGCCATAAATAAACGTCTTTGTTTAAATTAGCTTTAAGAGATGTACACAGATGCATATTGCAACAATAAACGTGAATAAAAACCGTGAGCTTGCACAACGGTGTGTTCGTCATTTAGAAAAATACTGTCGTTGGAAGTTCTTTCCGAGAAACAAACAAAACGTTTACCCAGCAGTGTTCTCTGTTTGGTTTTTGTGTCTCTGGTTTCACATGAAAATATAGAAATCTTTGTTGTCATTCATGTAAAAGCAATACAAAGGTCACTTAAAAATGAGAAAGAGACAAAAGGTCCAGAAAAAAGTTTGTATCGTAGAGGGAAACGAAATCTGTGTCGCTCCCCGTTTCCTTTGCAGGGTCTTTAACAGAAAAACTCCCCCCTCCACCTCACCCGAAGGATGCAGGGCAGCCAGTCGAGGGGCCGCTAGTCGAGGGGCCCCTGGAAGATCAGTCTGACGAAGCCCTGCTCCCCGCTCAGCTGCTGGGCGCAGAAGGGACAGGCGGCGTGGAAGGTGTGTGTGCCGTGCGGCAGTGGGATCTGGCTCCAGAAGGCCGCCGTCTTATCCGAGCAGACATGGCCGCAGGGGTTAAAGGCGTGTGTGGGGGGGGCGGCGTCCACGTAGAAGCCCGCCTCGCAGCCCAGCCACAGCGGCACGTACGGCCCTTTGGCGCGGCACATGGGGCACTCCCTCTGCCGGCCCTCCCTCTCCTCGCGGTGGTTCCCCCAGTTGTGGAATCCGTGCACGTGGCCGCACTGCAGGTACACCCAGGGCTGCTTCTCGTCCGGCGTGTCCTTGCGCCGCATGGAGGGGAAGGCGAGTGTGTTGAAGCCCACGGGACACTGCGGGCGCGCCGCGTTGATCTCCTGCCGCAGCGCCTCCAGGTGTTTGAGGGTGGGGGTGCGCGCCAGGCCCTCGGCCGTGCGCCAGAGCAGGGTGGCGCCGCAGAGGTCGATGAGGGAGCCGTCCACCAACTCCTGACTCTCCGTCTCTATCTGCAGCACAAATATGGTACACAGGTAAGCGAGAGAAACAGACAAACATGTAAGCGGAATATTTTTTATTTTGGGGTATGAAAAGTAAAAAAAAAAACACATTCATAGTACCATCTTCACGGATGTATAAAGAGAACTGGATACCTCCGATATCCCGCTCTCGGCTCAGTTAGATGAATGGAGAGTGAAAATGTAGTGCTTTTAGACCCTAATGACTTAACTTAGGGCTATACAGTTGTTCAGGCTGGGTACTTTATTTAGTTACGAAAAATTATCCGCCGATTTACAGACGTCTCTATCCCAATGTCAATCAATGGGAAAAAGTATGTTTGGGCCCAATGACATCACGGACTGACACAGACGTTGCAGTACTGCCGTTTGGCCACTATGAACATTTGCTTCAACGTCCGGCGCACTTGCTGGGGGTTGGTGTGTATCCCATCACACCTCTCAGCCATTGCATGCTGGGAGAGGCTCCAGCCCCCATTGATACTCATATAAGCAGTTTAGAGAATATATGGATTTATATATTGCAGTATTTGTCTGAACACAGTAGGTGGCAGTGTAACGCAGGTATTTCTCCCTCAGACAGCTGTGAGATTTAGAGAAGAGGCGGGGCCACAGCTGGAGGCAACATGACATGACAGGAGAAAACTGAAGAATAACGACATGGGTGGGGGGGACAGCCACTGGAAATGTTATTAAACTACAAATATGATGAAGCACAGATCAGACACAAAGGGAAACAAATCCATGTTTACATAACAGGAGGGGGGGGGGGGGAATGAAAGGATGGAGACAGAGTGGAGGAGGGGGGGGGGGCAGCTCCTGGGCATTTTGGTGAGATCGCTGGTGCTGAGGTCACTCTGTGTGTCCAACACATTTCTGAGGGCGCAGCACAACACACAACGCTCCTGCTGACAGCTTTTAACCTTCATTTGTGGCTGGAAGGTTTGCTGATGTGTGCTCTTCATGTGACACACTGATGCAGTGACACACATTAATATCGGCCCAGAAGAAAACACTCCTATGGCCCACAAAGCTACTTAACCAAAATGCGTAAACGTTTGAGGAACACTGTTACATTTATCACATTTAGTTCATTTCGATCGAGAAACTTATGGTCACATGCTTCTCCAGGGTATATGCAGGAATCCTGAAGTCAGATGTAAGACCTTTTAAGACCTTTTTTAAGACCCTTTCCATACATTTGAAGACCTCATCGCCACTTTGAGTTTTAACCGGTTGCATTGGCGACACACTTTACCTCACATTGACTATATACAGTATTGATTGTCCTTCCTCCTTATCTTCCAACCATTTGGACGCAAACTTGCATTTCCCCATAACGATGTTGTTTAACAACCAGCGTAAACGGGCCTTCGCGCGCTATCAAGCAGTGAGCGTGCGATGTCCTGTTCAGATGACGTCAAATCCAACGGGATGCCATAAATAAACTACACAGAATCACACTACACACCTACGCAATGATTACATTTAGGCAGACTGTAGAATACAACCTCTTTGGACAATTTATATACTTATTGAAAACAAGCTACAAAATGTAATACCTTGGAAAATGCCCTTTAATACTTTTTAATAGCCTTCATTTTCGCTAGATTAATTTATCAACTTTTAATACTTTTAAAGACCCCGCGGGCACCCTGTTCTCTAATCATCAACCCACCGACACGTCTACGAAAACAAGAGCAACTGTTTGTCTGATCAGTGAAGTTTTAACACTCACATTTTAATGATGTTAGCGTCGCTGGTAGATTCGATCCATGTTAACATTTACACTCTCACCCTGGACCCAGTTATGATTTAATTAGACAGAATTTAATCATTTATCAACACAAAAACAGCAGGGGTTCAGACACGTTCCTGATTTATTATACTTCGCATCGGCCTCCACAGCAGGCTCACTGTGTGTGTGTGTGTGTGGGTGTGTGTGTGTGTGTGTGTGTGTGTGTGTGTGTGTGTGTGTGTGTGTGTGTGTGTACTGCACTGTAAGGCATTCCTATATAAACTGGCTTCAACCTTGTGTCCGACTGCAGAAGGGCGAGCAGCTGTCCACAAACTGAAACCAACCTGCCGCACATTATTTATCTTCACTTCATTTATATAAAAATGGAGCTTAAAAATACAAACAATCTAAGGACAGGTCCGAGTACAAACCATTGATTTTGAAATCGTAAATTCATTCGACTGAACACTTTAGGTACCAATACACACACACACACACACACACACACACACACACACACACACACACACACACACACACACACACACACACACAACACACACACACACACACACACACACACACACACACACACACACACCACACACACACACAATCACACACACACACACACACACCACACAAAAACACACACACACACACACACACACATTAGCACAGATAGCTTTTGGCAAACTTGCTGAGACGACTTTTTTCCACCCTCATTCAATCAGAAAGTCCTTCAGCTGTTCACCTTCACTAATGCAGGGCAGTTATCCCATTTAGAGAGCTGTGAGGGGAGGGGGGGGGGGGGGCAAATACTCTACATTACAGAGCTGAAAGGGGTTTCTCTAAAATGCCTGTACGTTGTTAAACCCCAACTGACATTTTTTACTGCAGTACAAATGTTGTTTCTGACAGGAACGCCAACAAATATAGATAAAAGCAGATCATTTAGTTAAATAAACCATTTGTGAATGTTGGAATTAATAACATCTTTCGTTTTGCAATTTCAACACTCTGAAGTTATTGGAAATGTTTCGATCACACAACCACTGGAATCTATTTATACAAAGAGTCTATTACTGATATGAATAGGTAATAGTGGCCTGTCTTTATCTGCAACTGTGCAGAAGTGCCAGGCTTAAACGAATGAAAAAAAGCAAATCCGAAAAACACTCGCATTGGTATTTAAAATGTCAAATAAATGTAATGATAGAATTTATTCAGCACAGCGCAGGAGAGCCCTACCATCGCCCTGCATGATTAAAGACTTAATGAACTCCTCTCCTGTGTGCATTCAGCATGACAATTATAGCCCATCATGTTCTGTCACCGAACATAATCAAACTCGGTGCTTTCCCACAGCCGACTATCTGAATTGTGAATCAGCTGTGAATTAACGAGTGCTTCCTGTAGTGCTGGATAATGCACAGTGAGCTGTGTGGATGGTAAAGGGCAGGAGCCGATAACAGAGCTGTTAATGTGGCGCTGCAGAGGCTTGAGAACAGCTGGGACCCCAGATAAAGAGACGGGGGATTCATGTGAGAACTGCTGACTGCGCTGTGGTTGACGATGTGTTGGTTGTGAGTGAGGAGAGGTAGAGAAATCAAACACACCAACAACAAACAGAGAGCAATCAGACCAACGCCACAGGTGGCCACGCTGACAAAGTGTGTGTGTTTTGATTGGCTGAGAGGCGCTGACGTCAGTTGGAGGATCCCCTTACACGGTCCTGTTACACACAGCGCTGACAGACCAACCTGTTGCCATGGGGACGGCATCCCGATAACCTCGCGGTGGTGTTAAGCTGACTGAACCCCCCCAACCAGCCAGAGACAGAGCTGCTACCAGAGTGTGAGATAAATGCTCATGTGGAGTACAAAAGTTGTTTTCGCCGCCCTCAAGTGGAAAATTAAATCACTAATTGTGGCCTATCAGCTTCTGTCCCGCCTCTTTTGTGTAAATCATTATTAAGAGAACCTACAAGTGCAAGTCCTTTCCAAAAGCAGCAATCCTTTATAAATGCTGATCTCAGAATGCTCCGTGAAAACCCCCCGACTGTGGAAGCAGTTGAATTTCAGTGCTGAGTGAATGTGGCGCTACATGTTTTGCATCTTCTCACAATTTTCCCCCGCTGCTGTGCTGAGCGAGTCTCCCGCAGCGTGAAGACGTTTCCGCAGACCGAGATCTCCCTCCAGACGCCGGGTTTGGAGTCCTGGGTGAAGCCGTTTCGGGGGTGCATCACCAGCACGCCGTTTGTCGTGAGGCCGTCCATTTGAGCATCAGGCGTCTTCCATTTAGCGGCCTTCTCCTGAGGGGGGCAAATATATAGGAGGGTTATTGTTAAAGGTCCCCTATTATACTGTTTTTCATTCATATATTATAGGTCTCAGATATATACAGAGCCTGTCTCTGATTGGCTGAAATACCAAACAGATCATTGCAGCATCCCATAATCCCCTCTGTTTCAGCCCCGTTTCAAAAGTGCTGATTCTCTGTCTGTTACTTTAGATGAAAATAAGGAGCCCCTCCCCACGCCCCTCTGAGAGATATTTGGTTACAAAGAACTCAATGGTGCTCTAGGAGGAGATTCAGGTGATAAGGTGGGGAGGGGGGTTACCTTGGTTGCTGATTGGCTAATGGTTACACAAGACAAAAAATCGTGATGACATCATAAAGTGGCCAAAATCTGATCAGCTCATTTTCAGACAGGTTTTTATATAAATGGATCAGGACAGAAAGTGAGAGAATCTTTTTTCCTGAAACTTTCAGAATCTCTTTCCACAGAGGGGACACATGTTGATGTTTATGTCATTCATATTCCCTCATTTATTTTGAGCCAACTGTCCCAGCACTTGCAACCAAACACCTCAACAAGAGCAGTTCCGTAAAAGTGTCTGAAACAGTAGAAGAAACGCAGCTCACCCCGAGGAAAATGTTCTTTGAGGAGTCGAAGCCGGCGGCGTAGATGCGTGCGGTGTAAGGCGGCGTGCGCTGGCACATGATGCGGCAGGCGAAGCGGGAGATGGTGCTCTGGACCGACTGCGTGTCTGCGTTACTCTGACTGCCCGCCACCGTGTCCGTCACTACGAAGTCTATCGGACTCTCTGTGGATCGACCAATCTGCAGAGGGGAGGTTGAGATGGTGTACGTTTCAAAATGTTGAGGTTATTATCTACAACTGCCTGACACACTCTGTCTATTCTACCCCACAAGCCCTGCTAAGGTTGTAAACCACAGTTCCCACAATTCAGGAATTTTGGGGAAAGTGTACAGGAAGTCACTCAGTTAGATTTGGTTACATTGGCCGTTAAAAGTATGCAGTACGTTTTAAGTATTAGCTATTAGAAGTTTGCCATGTACCCATGAATATGACAATTACTACTACAAAAAACTACTTCACACTTATTACATTACATTACATTACATTGCATTTAGCTGACGCTTTTATCCAAAGCGACTTACAATAAGTGTATAACTTATAACTTATGCACATACATTTGTAACGGTACAAGAAAATTCAGATTCTGTAAATAAACATGTCTCCATTAAATACATGATGATTCTCAGGCTGGATAGAAGGGAGTCACACTGGATCTAAAATATATAAATGCGTCATATCTGTGTCAATTGTTGATGCAAATCCGTCCTTTACTTATGGATTGTAACTGGTTGTAGGAGCTGAGGCTTGTTACCTGGTACATGTCTGTATTGCTGTCGTGTGTGTACTCCACCACCACCGTCTGGACTCGAGAGAGAGTGTAAGAGATGCTGTGCTGGTCTTTGTTGCTTATGGCCTGATGGGACAAAATGAAGGAATACAGAGAAGATTAAGAGACACATGTTAAGACCTTTTAAATGCTCTCAAAGCAAACCCTTAATGTAGACAAGGATTAAACTTGATTATGCTTTATGACGAAACGTCTGGTCCCTGATCCTAGCAGAGAACAATAGACACAGGTAGGAAGGGTGGGGTGGGGGGAAAGTTCAGTTACACAGTCACTAACATAGCCTCAACATCTTTAAAATTAGTAAGGACCACCCAAAGGACAAATGAGGACAATCACTTCTCAAGACTCATCGACTGTGTGTGTGAGAAATGGTAAGTGTGTGTCCAACGGCCGGACTATTTACCAGATTTCTGGGCGGCCCTATAACTGACGATGGAAATACGGACATGTGCTTCCCAGGCTTTTGCTAGAAAAACGCTCAGTTACCTTCCACTGGACCGTTCACTTTGGTTTCCCTTATAAACCCTCAGCGTGCGATAGTTAAACGCTGTGTAAAAAACATTGTTCGAATACCTTTTAAACTTCCACAGACTTTTGTACCTGCTCTTTCTCCCTTTTCTGCCAACTCAGTGAAGTTTTGTTAAACCCCTTTCCTTTTCATTGATGGTGTGTGTGTGTGTGTGTGTGTGTGTGTGTGTGTGTGTGTGTGTGTGTGTGTGTGTGTGTGTGTGTGTGTATGTGTATGTGTGGTGCTTTAATATCACAGACAATAAACAAACAGAATTTCAATAAAGCCTTTGGTCCGGCAGCCCAGGCCAAACTCACTGAACTGGGTGTGTTTTATTTGATGTTGTCACACAAATAAAATCTTACGCCTGCAAAGATGATGTTTTTTTTTTTATAGGAGAAAGGAATGCTGTTTTCTAACTAATGCATGTATTTTCTTTATCACTCTATATGTTTTTTACATGTTTTATGAACACAAAAGTGTGTGTGTGTGTGTGTGTGTGTGTGTGTGTGTGTGTGTGTGTGTGTGTGTGTGTGTGTGTGTGTGTGTGTGTGTGTGTGTGTGTGTGTGTGTGTGTGATCACCTTGGCTGCCTGTGGAGAGCAGGCGATGTGAATTGTGCTGGGTTTCACCCCGTTTGCCTTCGGTCTCTTACCAAGTGCAAAGCGGCTCTTACGTCGGCCCCGGTCCCCGTTAGGCAGAGAGCCATTGTACCTGCAAACACACACACACACACACACACACACACACACACACACACACACACACACACACACACACACACACACACACACACACACACACACACACACACACACACACACACACACACACACACACACACACACACACACACACACACACACACACACACACACACACACACACACACACACACACAATAGGGCATTATAGTCTGAGCAGTCGTATAATACATTGGAAAAACTGTGATAGTGGAAAATACTTGAGGTCTTTTAGTGCACTCCCTCCAAGCCTCAAAGACCATATGCACACATATATACTGTACACGTACACACACATTTAGTAAACACACACCTACACACACTCACTGCAGCCTATACTTTTAATACAAGCCGTTTCTTTTAAACAAAAGTACATCGTGTCTCCATAAAGAACAAAGCCCTCCAAAAATAACCCCAGAAAGACTGAGAAAATAAACACACAAAGAGACTCATTTATCCCGATGCATGGCTGAGGAGGATAAACAGAGGCGTTCCCTCCAACAGAAAGGAGCCTCTGTGACTCCAAGAGCACCGTGACTGTGCCGTTTGTGTCTGTGAGAAAACATTTGTCATCTCTAGCTACCTTTAAGTGTTTTTCTGATTTAAAATGACCTGTCTGCAGCTGATTCATTCCAGCAGAAAAGGCCAAGAAGGTCGTGTTCACACGCAAATAAAGATAGCTTATTCAACTTATTAGAAGGTTGTTTACAACAATATTAAGGGATTAACAAAAGCAAAACAAGGGAAACGTATATAAATCAAATAAATAACCCTCTATGGAGAAATAAAGTGCACATGTTCTAAGGCAGCTAATGGTTTAAACACTCTTGCTGTCCTTTCCAGGTATGAGTCTGTGTATATGAAACACATGAGTGAGCACACCCAGGTTACACAAGGTTGTATTCCTTATTGCAAACACATGTTTAAGTTAAGCCATTAACAGAGCCTAGGGATATTCCTAACAGAACCACCCAGGGCCGTTTCTTCCTATAGGCGGACTGTGCGGATGCATAGGGCCCCCGCGGCCACTAGGGGGCCCCCAAGCTGAAAGTTCAGGTTCAGCCTCAATATATTTGGGGAGAATTAAAGTTAGATGTATTTAATGTAGACAGCCAAGCCCCCTCCTGTGTTCGGTGAAGCATTATATTTAAAAAATACAACACAACTAAACTGCAATGATAGCAAAGCTGTGGCTTGTGTTTTTGGTGATCAATAAAGTCCAAATCATCGTTGGGCTGTCACCCAATGAGTGAGGAAGATGAAAAATATAAATTATATATTGTTGAGAAAAGGCTGCATCTCTTGCATTTATTGACGTAGAGAAGCCTTATTGTTTACCTTTTTAATATAATTTTTTGTAAGTTTCAATTGCTTGGTTTTTGTGAAATTAGCCTGTTTTCCTCTTAAAGTGTAACAGATTGATGCATCTCCACAGGTCATCTTAAAGGCCTCGGAATCCCCCAATTGTAGTTAAAAAACTAGGGACCCCAAACAGCATCTTGCATAGGGCCCCCAAACAGCTAGAAACGGCCCTGGAACCACCTCTTTATAAACATTACCATATGCATACACACGGCTCACTACTTTAACATTGTTATGACATCAAGAAGCCACAGAAGTGATGGACTGAAATATGCTTCCTACAGGCTTTTCTGTATTTAGCTAATGTTTGTTATTTTTCATAACAAAATGGAATTTCTGCATATCATCCCCTCTCTCGTTATTCAAATCTGTCAATTCTTTATCCTTAATACAAAGCAAAATGGCCAGAAAAAAGACTATTTAAAAGAAAAAAAGCAGTCAAAAGCAGTAAAAAGTCATAGTCGCAGGTAAGCTCATTCAGACGTAAAAGGTTCAACGTCTTAAAACAGGACTGCAGACACATGTGTAATGTCTGCAAAGGATCATTTAAAGAAGTTAACGTAAAAAAAAAGAACTCCTGCAGCACAGCTGGAGCGTGTCTTTGACCAATCAGAATCTTGGAGTGAAACCACCCTTTGCATTGAGGACGCCCAGCCTGCAGCGAAATGTTTCTGAGAGCAGATCTGTTGGGATCAAACGCCGCTCGGAGGGTTTATGAGTAACCATGGTGAGAGAACACAGCCACAGCAACGTTTGGGAACAGTAACCATGGCAGGAGTGTAACCATGGCGAAGTTCAGCCCGTATCCGGAGAGAGGGCAGGGCAGTCTGCTGGAGAAAGCCCAACTATTTTGCTGGCAGTTTAAACAAAGATTCCCATGGGTAGCATTTAACTATAAGTGCACATACATGTATCCAAATATGCTCACAACAATGGCCAACGTTTAATGTGTGTGTGCATTTACAGTTTGTTCCTATAATGAGTCAGGAAGGACCAGAGTTAGGAAAAGTCAGTGTGTGTGTACTGCATTCATCAATTCCAACAACAAGCGTGTGTGTGTGTGTGTGTGTGTGTGTGTGTGTGTGTGTGTGTGTGTGTGTGTGTGTGTGTGTGTGTGTGTGTGTGTGTGTGTGTGTGTGTTGCCTCCAAACACTAGTAAACTAAAGCTCAGTGTGCAGCAACAAGACACCACTTATAAAGTAAACCTATAAAAACATAAAGACAGGCTATGAGTAATTACTGGCTATGGCTGAGCACCTCTGTGTTTACAGGTTACCATTACAGAGGGTATTAGACCGAGGCCTCGTCCACACCTACACAGGTATTTCTGTAAAGGTAGCTTTTTGTTGGCCTTTTTTATCCACAAATCAGTCAGCATTTCATTTGACTGAAAACTGATCTTTTCCAAAAGATTTCCAGAAACTCTGTTTGCGGTGTTTCCGTGTAGACAGGGATAAATTAGTGTTTGGCTTTTAACGTCAGAGTGTATGCCGTTATCTCGTTTGTGAAGCGTCACTAATGAGGAGCCATGTCGTACAATGGAAACATAAATACTCCCATGAAAGGCTGACGTGGACAGATTACCTTTCGATTTGGACTTTACCCATAAATGCAGTTAGTTACGCTTCAACTTTATGAGGAAAAAAAGCTGTGAGCATGGGCTAATGCTACATTAATCACCACTGTCATGACACTATAAGTGACCAACCATACACGTCGCCTGTGTGTCTGTGTGTGTGTGTGTGTGTGTGTCTGTCTGTCTGTCTGTCTGTCTGTCTGTCTGTCTGTCTGTCTGTCTGTGAAAGCGATTCAATAGGATGATAATATGTATTTCAATGAGCATGCTCCATATGTGAATGTATAACATTTTCGAAAATAACTGAGATTCAACAAAAGCAACAGGGTGAGGCTGGAGCATTGGACACGGCACCTCTTGAAAAAAGGCTCCGCGCATATACAGACAGACAGAGATGGATTTGAAAGGACTGCAGTGTATCCAGTGACATCACGGTTGTTTAAAAAGCCACATGGATGTTGAGTCCCCCCGCCTGTAAACAGACCGTCCCCAGAGAAACGCAGCATTCCTCCGGATTAGGCTGCTAGCATCACTGGGCTTCAAACATGGTGATGTTGAACTGGGGTTAGCGAGGAGGCCAGACACAATACTGCTCTACGTGTTGATGGGGTTCTCTGTTAGGATTTGCCTTTGCAAGCCTGTTCTTGGTCACACGGGAGTCACACACAATTAAATCCAGGCACTTGTTTTGGCCTGCTGGAGAACCAGAAGGGTGGAGCTCCATGCAGTTATGAAAACAAAAAAATGTAGCACAAGTGTCCTTCATTAAGTCAATCAAAACCGGCCAAGCAAACACAATTACTACAAAGAAAACAGATTTCAATGCCAAAATGAAAAGAGGTGTTACTAACATATCCAGTATTATGGGAACTGTTTTTGTTTGGACTCTACAACAGTGGTTTAGCTCTTTGCAATTCAAGGGTTAGCCAGGTCCTATTATCCATATCCACTCAGGGTGAGTCAATGATCACAGTGTCAGCCTAAATGCACATGGTCATCAAACCTGTGACACGACTCTTTACCTTTCACTCATGATGTATGTTTCTGTAGTATTTTACTCCCAATGGTTTCATTTTAATTCTCAATTTACACTGATGTAATGTGGGTTAGGGGCTTACCTCACACTGAGGCCACACACATAAAGCATATTTTAGTTCTCACTTTACTTGGCAGCAGTGTGACTCCAGCAGAAATCAGCCCAACTGATCTTTTAAAAAGTGTGACCTGACCTTGAATTTATAAACTAGGAGTGGAAAAAGTAGAGCAAAGCGGAAAACAGGGGTTCTCCCTTGTAAAGGCATGGGGCAGCGTTTACTGCTCGCTGCCTTTTTCCACCAGGGAACATTTCCACAGTGTCGCTCCAGCACAACCCAGAACAACAAACGGTGAGTCAGCTGTGAAACCAACTGTGTGAGACAGGGCAAATGTGTGTGTGTGTGTGTGTGTGTGTGTTGTACGTGCATAAGAAAGTGTGTGTGTTGTGTATGAGTGTAAGGAGTCTTTCCGACATCTACATTCCTCTGTGGAGTGGGCTGGGAAGGGGAGTGGAGTGGAATAGCCCTTTGGGGAATACACAGGAGACAGACAGATAAAGGAAGTCCTTCACTGTCCGTTGTTATTGGAGAGAGTGTGTGTGTGTGTGTGTGTGTGTGTGTGTGTGTGTGTGTGTGTGTGTGTGTGTGTGTGTGTGTGTGTGTGTGTGTGTGTGTGTGTGTGTCCTAGCATTACTATACTTGTTGGGACCTAAATCTGCTTACACTGTCAAGTGTGGGGACTCGCCTCCCTTATGGGGACCTAATGGAGGTCCCCATGAGGGGAATCATTAATTTTAGGATGAAGACTTGGTTAGGGTTAGGGTAAGGTTAAGGGTTAGGGTAAGGCATGTGTTGGTTATGGTTAAGGTTAGGATAAGTCTCCAGGAAATGCATGTAAGTCAATGTAATGTCCCCTGAAGTGATTTATACATGGTATGTGTGTGTGTGTGTGTGTGTGTGTGTGTGTGTGTGTGTGTGTGTGTGTGTGTGTGTGTGTGTGTGTGTGTGTGTGTGTGTGTGTGTGTGTGTGTGTGTGTGTGTGTGTGTGTGCAGCTATATGTCTTACTAATGCAGGGTGGGGTGAGAGGTTTTTCCTACAGCTGAGTATGTGGACTTGAGTCAAAACAAATCTCTGAAGGAAGAGATAGTGTTGTTCCAAGAAACGTGTTTAATCTCCAACAATCCAATCCTTCATCAATCCTATCTGTGAGGTCACCGAGGGCATGACCCTGTGCCACTGGACACAAATATCACAATTGTTTATGTGGGTCGCGGATGTGTGAGTGAAGACAACAATTTTAATTTTTTGTTTTTGGGGAAAAAAGTCAAACTTTTATTTCAACGCTGTGCATGCAGTAGGCGTTGGACTGGAAGTACCGGAGACCATAAACGGTTCTGAAAACTTCTGTCACGTAGTGATCATCTACTCAATAAAACATCTTTGCTGATGTTTTTTCGAGTCTTCTGGCCAATCAGAATCAAGATTGTTGCCGGAAGTCCCCACGGAGAATAACTTTGCGGTAGAACTATTCTTTATACATCCATGGGTACAACTTCAGATACAAACTAACACAATGAAATATGATATTTTTAAAAGCATACTTTAGTTCTGTGAAGGGATATAAGGGATATATGCACTGTACTTCACTTTAATTAATATTGTATGCTGAAAAGCGTATATATTACAGCACGATTTTTTGTTGAATAGATTTGAGTGGTTCAAAATGTTGGGTCGCGATTTATTGACAAAGTAAAAAGTGGGTCCCGAGGCCTGACCAGTTGAGAACCACTGTCCTAGAGCACTGTATTTGTTTACATATTGTGACTAACTTCTCAGAGGTCTTTGAGCTTTTTGGAAGATGTCACCGAGTTCATTGACAAATCAAAGAACATCTAAATCCTTCCTATATATTCCCTCAGGGATCTTTAGCAGAACAATTGCTTCTTAGCCAACACAATTTCCATTGTTCTCAAACTATGATTTCTGTAATTAGTCTTCAGCATCTGCACCGCTGTAATTACGGCTTTACTGTGTCCTAAAGAAAACACATTTATATTTAAATGTAATGTTTATGACCTTAATGCATCGTGATTATGCTTGAGGTCTCACACAAGCCTGCAAAATACATAAATCATGCACACATAAAACATTTTAAGAAGCCTATATTACATTATTATAACACTTTTTAGTCGATTACATGCAGTCGTGTTTGGGACATTGCTATGCTTTTATGTAGGATCCCTTCTTTGACAATATGGTGTCTTGAGTCTGTGATTCAAGATTTCTATAGGTAGATTAAAGGTGGGGTAGGTAATTTCGGAGAAACCAGCTCGAGTGCGCTAGAATTTGAAAATACACAACCGGAGAAAATCTGCCACTTCCTTACAGAGCCCCTCCTCCAACACACACGAACGCACACATGACCAATGAGGGCACGAGATAAGTTTGTGCACAGATGGAAGGCTGACAGGCAGGTAGGCCATCCAGTTATTTTAGCCGGGCCGGCTCAAATGATTGGTCGTGCTTTTTACAGTACTACGGCTTCCACAGATGAACTTTTTTTTATGGATTTTTTGTCAAAGCACTTAAGATATTCATTGCTATCGGGATGTTAAGAGCATTCCATGGAATATAACAAAAAGTGTATCTCGAGCCGGTTTCTCAAACTTACCTACCCCACCTTTAAGAGGATAAAAATGTATTGCCGGGAGGTGTATACAGTATGGTTTTTTCAAAAGTAACTGTCTTTAGTATACACAACACAATATCTTAAACCAGAAAGTATCCATGGGTAGGTAGTAGGTACCATGTCCAGCTCAATGTGCAGAGATTGATTGAAACACTGATGGGACTGAGATAAATAACATAACCTGCAATCAACACATAGATCATCCATAGACCTTACAATGTCCAATACAGACCATCAGGGCCAATACACACAGATGACGTATTCTTAAGAACAAAATTGTATGATAATAAGTCAAGATAAATTCCCAGGTGTGTTCTGGATGTAAATATGATTATGTGCAATTATGTCTTGTTGCTTACCCCAGCACAATGAGCTCTCCATACTTCACTGGCACTTTGGTGGAGGAGGTGGTGGAGATGTTTTCCTGCTCCGGGGAGTACATTGGGCTTGGCTGATTGGAGGAGGAGGAGGGGAGGCGAGATGAGAGGTGAGATCCAACAGGGTGAGGGACTCAGGAAGGGGAAAAGGAGGGGAAGGGTGGGGGGGAGAGGTGCTGATCGAATGGAGCACGGGGGGGAGAGGAGGAGAAGGAAGGGAAAGGGTCAGCTGAGCCTCAGCTCCACCCTCTCATGCTTCATGTGTCCGTCGCTCGCAGCACCGCTCGTCCTGCAGAGGGACAAAAAGACAATCAATATAAACATTTGATCAGATATAGACAAGTGTCTCTAAGTGAAGAAGCAAGATGGAAAACAATTTCAGGATTTTCAGAAAGACATGTATTTCAGTTGATGTGTGTTTGATAGTGTTCGCAGTTTCTCATGACAACAAAAATCGTGCAAGCTTTTGGGGCTATTTTAACCCTCTCAACCCTAGATGTCTGTGTGTACATTCTGCATTTGTAGTCCTAGCTGTACACGTTTTGATGTAGGCAATATTCAAAGAGTATCAGGTCTGCATGAAGAAAAGGGCACCGTATGCATATCAATAAGCTAGTTCAGCAGGGATGCCAAGGCAGGGGGCTCCAGCTAAAATGTTTTGTATATACTGTATAGTCAGGGGAAAAGCTCATCTAAAATGCCATCTCATAGTCTTTAAAGCCTAGAAATGTTCAGATCTGTTACACATGATAGACCCAAGGATGCAACTACTTGTGTACTCCATACTCTTTACTAATTATGTTTGTACGTGAAGTGATGGGATCATAATGCACTACACCTTCCAAATAAAGCTTCTCACTGACAAATGTAAAGAAGACAGTAGACATAAATCTGTTGACCTCTTCCCCGGGTCAATGTGGAGTTTGTTGCGACAAGAGCACAGTAAAAGGGTACATAAGACAAAATAACAAGGACAAACTAAATTATCCATTTGAGCCATACAAAGCCTTCATTTAGATTTGCTTCAAATTGCTTACGGCTCAGTAGGTACAAATGCAAAATACACCCCCCACACCAACAAAGATTTGTTTGCAATTTTTCAAAGCATCAGGGACACGACTGAGGTCAGGAGGACATGTGGGTTATTCTTCAAGCTGCGTGAGGTGGGTGTCTGTAATGCTGACTTCAGAGAATGATTCAAAAACACGCACATAGCTTTCTAAATTCACAGGAAATTGCAACAAGAAGTAGAGACAGAAAGCATGTGTGAGAAAAGAAGGCTGCACTTCCTGTTTCAACAAGCTAAGGACTTCATGGCATTAAGTTAAACTCATGGGCTTTTTTCTGTATGTGCTACTGTTTCTACCGCTTACCAAAATAAATCTGATTAATATGCTACGATATGGCTCACAAGAAAGAGCAGAACAGCAACATTAACATCCTCACGAACATGTCTCATGTGAGGGACGATATTCCTCCTACAATTCCCAGAGTGCCTTTCTGCTAAGAGGATTTAAAGCCACACATGAATAACGCATGAGAAGTAAAGTGTTTGGGCTTCAATCCCAAACTCTTAAGAGCAGGAAGGCCGAAACAGTCTCATTAGATGGAGAGGGAGAAAATCATAGAGGCCTTCCACGTAAATATTTAAGCATTACTCAGCATTACTTAACACACATTTAGATTTCTATTACCTGGAAAAGTACCAGCTCGTACATCCTTATAATCACACGAGCTGCTTCACTGCCTCACACTTGAAGAAAGTAACACTTTTATTTATAAATGGCATCCTGACATCTTTCACCTTAAGTGTTGATTGTGTTAAGAATAGCTCTTAGTGTATCTACCCACAGGAGTCAGCTTCATCACACATAGACAGAAAAGACACCAAGGTTCAACATATTTAACGTTTCCGATCAGATGGTAAAAATGGTTGTGAATCTTTTGAGCTTTCTCTGAGGTAGAAGTGGAGGAGGGGTGTTTGATACTGGATGGGGGAAGGGCTGCACCATTTGGAAAAAATAATTAGTTGTGAGTCTTTTGACTGATATCGCAATTGGCAATATGATTCAAGATATTGGGGTGGATTTTTTTAAGATGATCTGTACAAAACAAATGTGTTTTCTTATGTCTGTAGATCACGATTTGTATGCTGGGATATCTCTGCAGATTACTACAAAATACTTTATTTATTTTAATGCATATTAAGCCTTGAACACGTATTTTGATTCCTGCAATGCAAGTATAGCAACAATATATATTGCGATTTCAAATACATTTCAATAAATTGCACAGACTAGATTGCAGCCATAAAGCAAAATGGAGGATCTGGAAAAGTGATCAGGAAGAAGGGGGAGGTGAAGACGGGTGTGTACAAACTGCAAAACTGGACGTAAGCCTCAGCCCCACCTGCTCCCCTGACACGAGAGGTTAATCCCACACACACACACACACACACACACACACACATGCAGCATTGTCAGTGCATACTAAAACACTCAACATGTAAATCCTCTCTGTACGCTCACATGTGCAGCGTCGTCAGTAGCGTCCAGGGAGCTGTTGGGTGACCTGCCAGGAATTGATTTGTACCTATGGATCCAGACACTGAAGACTAAAGAAAAATAGATCTGAGTGAGAGTGTCCTGTTATTGAACACATCAGAGTCCAGACTGCTGGATTATCAATCTATTGCAACTCTACTGTTATCAAGAACTCAACAAAAACAGCAGCAGCCTCTCCAGAACCAGGTGTGGCTTCAAGTCCGTGAACCCTGCCTCTCTGCAACAGGGCCAATACTCTCTACCAAAAGTATAGTGAACATTACACTTTAACATCACAGACTGGGATTTCCATCAAAGTAATGATGAATGATGTCTGTTTAATTCTATAGCTAGGCAGGAAAACACTTGAGTGACAGATTTACAATCTTGTATTTCAACCTATACTTATTTTCACTTGAGAAACAACCCATGTCAATTGGTTTAATGAGGCTTTCATTGAAGGGAAACATGCGTTTTGTGTTTCAAATGATTGATCATTAAACCGTCTGAGGAATTTGCTTCAAATTGTGTTATGGGCGTGTGTATCCTTTTAAGTGTTTGACTAAGCTTCCTGGCCTCTGTAACTCTGCATGACACAGAGCTCGGTGTGGCTGCATGCCAACTGCTGCTTAGCTACCGACACACACAGTCCTACAACAATAGATCTGGATCTCAGTGAGGCTGACTTTGCAGGCCGGGGTCAGGGATTGTAACAGCATGCTGCTGACAGCAAAACAGCAACCTCACACGTTCAAAAGACCTCGTAAAACCTCACTGCAAGGAGTCGTGGATGACACCTGCCATTCCCACTGGCTGCCAACGGAGCACAACACATGACAAACAAATGTACAGGAGCAGGCACACACACATTCGTCTTCATGTTCACACGGAAACAGGGCAACAGCTGCACTGATCTTTATCGCCAGCCACCCCGCAGTGCGACGTGTCAAACTTTCCTATTTAGCGCACTTGTCATGCAAAGGATCTTTTATCAACTAACCAGGTCACACCCAAAGTTAACAGAGTTCTCTGCAGGATTTGAGTCCTGCATTCATGAAGAGTTCAAAGGGGTGTGATGCTTTGGTAAGTCAAAGGGTGACACACTTACAGGATCACAAGGCATGGCTCTATGGAAACAAGCAACTAAACAAGAACCAGTGTTGCTCGGCTGTTAGGAACCCACAAATGGGTCAGAAGACACTCTCACAGGGTCATGGACAAAAAGGAACTCAAAGAGGGAACTGGTTTTAACTAATCGTCTAAGTCTACTGCATGGCCAATTTAAGGTAGGTCTGGATTCATAACCAGACCGACTTAATCTTTTGGCTCATGTGACACAACTTCCCATACCAGACGCCTACATATCAAAACACTAATGTGTGCTAATAATATGCACAAAGATTTCCCAGTTTTTGTATCCCCATGACCCTGTCTGCAAAAATGGCTTTAACGACAGACATTTAAATTGTTCATAACTTTCAAAAATAAATAAGAAGAATCTGCTAAATGAGATAAGTGCATACAGGTTTTTTTTGTCTTCCTAATTACTATTTTGTATAATATTGTTTTGGTCCAAAACTGTGAAAATGACTAATTCCCGGAGCCTAATGACTTATTCTACTTTGTTGTTATATCCAACTAACGGTCTAACCCAGAGATATCCAGTTTACTAACATAGAGATAAAGAACAGCAGTGCAAGTCACATTTAGGAAGCTGCAGAACATGTGACATTTTACAACTGTAGCAAACAGGGCCAAAGAAAGAAGAAAGAGTACATCAGGCACCAGGTCAGGGCAGAAGAGAGAAAACCAAGACCTCCAACACAGTGTGCCATCTTCATTACTGGAAAGTGGAAATGATACCCTCCTGGTGAAGCGGGTCATCGGATCAATAAATAATAACAGATGCCTGGCATCCACTCAGGGAGGATGACTATCTGAGCTATTTAATATGAAGCACATCGGAAGATAAAACAAACTGGACATCATATAAAAGGATATATCAAAAACTAATAGTATATCTGCTTCTTTATCTGTCTTCTAGTGCCACAACAACACATCGCTTATTCTAAGCATATCTATCTTGCTTTGGTTTTTGTCGGATTTGATTTTGTCATAGCTGTCTCAACAAAGTGTTTTTAACCTGTGGGTTGTATATTCACGTATTCTGTGTGTTGTTATGATGACTAAAGAAGAGCAACAGTTATTCTGCCTGCCGGGCAAGTATCAACACAATGCAGACTGATGACAGTTGTTGTGTTAGTGCGGGTGTAAGTTAGGGTGTAAGTGTGTAAAAATGAGAAACCTAAGAGAGGAAAAAATACGGCTCATCTTCTTGCTTGTGGCTGCTGTGATCTTTGTGAAAGCCCTTAATCATTAAGGTCATCACACACCAAAACGCTCCATTATTACTGGCTCTCACCACATCCTCAAACACTCTGAGGCTTTTAGGCGTTTCTCACCTTTCATGTTCACTGTGAGCGCCTCGCGAGCGTCTCCCAAGCAGAATCAAATGTCTTCTTCAAAAGCTTAGAGACACTATTTTCCAAAAACAGAAAGTCTCATCTTTCCCTCCTCTTCAGTGTCTCTCATCTTTGAATCCATTGTAGATGGATCCCTTAATCACAGATAGATGGGGGGGATTTACCTTCTTATTATCTCTATTTTGCACCACTGGAGTAGAAAGGCCGTTTTCCAGTCTCCTGCTCACAGCTTACTCTACAGAGAGGTTCTCTAACGTTCAAAC